TTTTTTAAAAAGATACCAACAATGCAGCTTCTTATTTCTACTTAAATCTCTCCCACAATTATTGGACAGTTCTAAATACAAAAATAAGGAAGGAACTTATATATTTCTCAGGAACTGAATATTACATCTAAAGATGAGAAACGGGATTTGTGCTATGTTCATTATTTTAAACAGTCAAATAATAAATGTTCCTGCCTGGAACTACAGCTGAGGTAAATGTTGAAAGGAATTTGACTATTGACAGAAAATGTAAATTCAACTTTTCAGATTTTTTAATCTATTTTTGAAGTAGTTAAGCTTTTAGATATTGTCATTGTAATTGTCATTTCATTGTCATTAAACACATCAAAAGTGATGTGAAACATTTTTTTAGACAAAGGGAATAAAAGTAAATATAAAAAAGGTGTAATGTTAAATCCAGATGAATATATTTAGGTAAAGAAAATAAACAATTAGTTGAATGAAAATGAATAATCCAACTAATAAAAGGGAGTTAAATCAACATCACGACAATGTTTAATTAAGGTTTCAGGATTTTTTAAGGTTATTCAACTCGAGTTTATGTAACTGTAAATGCCCATAACTGCATAAATAAATAAGATAAGGCCACTACTCAATGTTTGTTTTTTTGGCTTCTGAGAACAGTTAGCACAATTACCAAATGAGTCGCTGTATTTCCAACTTGCCCTCTTTTCCAAGTCTTTGTTTGGTCTCTATCAGCCTTAGAGGCTTTTTGGGAGACCATTAATGCTCAACCTGCTGGAAATAAACGGGTGGAAGTGTTTCTAAATCCTGTCAGGACTTGAACACTTCTCCATTTTCAAAATTATAGCAGAGTTTGGTATTGACATGAACTTTCTGTTTGAATTCATATGAGAGACTTCAAGACAGCTGAGTTCTGGAAAAAAAAACTCATTCCTTTTTTTTCTTGTACTTTCCAGCCTTCTTTCGTCTGTTCCAAGTTTCTTCTAAATTGAAGGTACAAGAGATGCAGATCTGAGTTTTTAGCTGCCAAATCCGGTCTAGCTGCTTCCGAGTGACTGGTAGGATTTAATCTTCTTTGATATTTAGTACCCTATACTGTCAAAAAACTTTGGGTAATTAGCTGCTACTGAATGACTAACTGGCTTAGTGGTGCTTGCAAAACTATCAGACTGACTGACTGTTCAGGCTTAGTCCTGCTATGTGGTGAGATCATCATCACCAGCAAACATAACAAAAGCCTGATGGGAAGAGGCCGCCTGTGTGTGTGAGTGTGTGTAAGTGCTTGATGGCTTCATTCCTGTATCAACACTGCTCTCTCTGTGGATGAGTCAGTAGGCCAAGCCTGACCATCATCCTCTCTCATCTCCTTCTATCACACCACACGCAAGAAATCAAACAGCTCTCAGTACACACACACTCAGAATGTGGGCGTGGGGGTGAAGTGGTGCTCAGAAGAAGCGAACTTCAGGTCAGGGGGAAGAGAGACAAGAGAGTGACATATAGGACTGCTGTCGGGGACATCATGCTTTATTTTTTTGCACCGTAGAAACTGAGCTATGAGCTCATTTGTGTTTTACTGTCACGTCTTAGTTCTACATTTTACAAATCAGGCTCCTTTCCAGTGCTTTCAAACATGAGGCATGAGATAAACAGAGCAACACACAGCGAGAAATGACAGTAAGAGCAGAGCCCTTGTTAGGAAGGACACATGGGGGAAGGGATTTTGCGTAACACCTAGTTGTCTACCTGTCTGCTTGATTGAAGGAAAGTGGGGTTTTCAGTGTACCACAGAGACAGACTGCTGTCCTCTGTAGTGCCTAAAAATGTGTGTGTGTGTGCGCGCGCATGTGTGTGTGTGTGTTTATACTCTCCTTGCTTGCTTGGTCTCAGGGGCGCCATGGTGAGGAGGAGATAGGCAGACAACCAAAATCTCACTCTCTCGTCTCCAGTATAAATGTTCTATGTGAACACAAAGCGAAGGACAGAGGATGAGAGACACGGGGAAAGACAGAAGCAGGGTAACTAACAATAAAACAGACGTCTGAGGCAGCTAAAGGCACCCCGTCTACCTCAGCTACTCCATTTTTGTCTTTTGCTCTTGTTTGTGTCAAATGAATCTCATTCACCTGCTTTGGGGATTTGTGACTCAATCTTTTCTGCATATCCCTTTGCTCCATTCTCTCCATTTTTCATCATGTTGTCCCTTTCTCCGTTCTTTATATATACAAATGAATTTAATTCATGGTGTCCTTCTGGTGCATACTGAAACTTTCCACATCGTCAAGGATCATCCCACAAGAATAAATGACTTGTGTTTCTTTGAGAATGAATATGTCTGTGCAGCTGCAAACAAGGACTTGTGACAGTGTAGATGTCATTTTTACATTTGTTGTAAAAAAAATCCCAACATTGAAACAAAATCCTTTCAGGGACAGAGAGTGTGTGTGTTTGTTGTGTTGCAGTAAATTAATTTGCTGTAATAAAAGATGTTTTATTAAACTGTCTAATTGCAAAAAAGAAAAACTCACGGACAGTTATACAAACCTGTAAAAATGGATTTCTTTTCATTCTTCTAATATTCCATTTAAATAGAAAAAAATGACTTAGCAAGTCAGAGGTGTTAAAACAATATATACTCTCATAGTGTTCTTTATTTCATGACTGTCAGTTTTTTCAGTGACATAATGGTAATGTCTTATTTGGGATGTTGAAATTAAAAGTGACACAAATGTATTTGTAAACAAGCTTTATTGATATTTTTGTTACAGTGTAAAAAAAGAAGATATTGAAATTGTTCCCCCACGTGTAGGAAAGGGAATCTGCTGCAATAAAAAAATATTTTTATCACATAACAGGCCGAAATTATTTGGATTTCACTTGTTTCCTTGAAAGAAAAATCCAGGTGTTAGAGACGTTTATTCTATAATGAATACATTATCATTGCATTAAGAAAAAAAACAGAAATTGGCTAAAGTATTTAATAGTGGCAATTTAAATGGTAGATAGCCCACCTGACCCACAGGCAGTTATTCCAATGAGAGAATAATAATATTCACACCAAAAGAAAAAAGGGTTTTGCGACTCCACTTCCTTTTGAAAATGTACACAATGCACTCTGGGTTTAAACCCTTCTTTTGTCAGGAAACCTGCTAGAGGGTGACACCAGAAGTATTTCCTTCATCAAGAAATGATTAAATGACTTCTGTGTGACAATTAAATAATTCGCCATGAAACTCTCCCAAAAAATGCACCAAATACGGGCAAAAAAAAAACCTTTTCTTTTTTTTTCTCATAAATAATTATGTTTTATGAATTTAATTGTACTGCCTTTAGCAGGTCTATTTATTTTCAAACAGTTTTATATTTGCTATGAATACTTACTTAAACATATAACAGTGAACAAAAAAAGAAGAAGAAAACTTTGAAAACTGCAGCCCTCCTGAATGCTCAGCCTTCGTGTGACGGTATAAATAGACCGGAGACTTCACAGGTCCAAACACAAAAGATTTCTCAGGGAGTCGACAAGGAATCCAAAGTGCTAAACCCACCAGTGACGTGGTGATATGGGTCGTTTTCCTGCCGGGGGAAGATTTAATAAACGCAGAAAAACAAACAGCGTCTGTGCGGTGACGGGGTTGCGCAGGGGTGAGGACGGTGGCACTCTGGACACATCCTCCTGTAGGAAGGATGCCGAGCTGTGGAAAAAAAAAAAAAAAAAAAAGCAAACAGGAGCCCTGGTCGGGTCTCTTTAACCCCGCCGTGAACTCGCGACCTTACCTTCCGACTACTTCCCATTACCTCTGCACGACACTCAGCCCACATACCGCCGGGCGCACATACGCACAAACACACACAGACACACGCACACACACGCATTGTGTGGCTCTCTTCGGAAGGGCTGGCCGGGAGCGGGGCGAGGGCGGGGGCGAGCTGCTCACGGAGGGGTCAGAAGAATGACAACCACCGCGTTCACAGGGCAATCACACAGAGACGTGGACGCTGCTCCGAGCCGCAGTCAAATGAAAATATTATGTGGAAGCAAAAGCGACTAAAGATGTTTTTAAAGTCGCATAAACCATCTTTTCTTATATGAAACTGATAAAGTTTATGTCCAGAGGTGAAACGAATATAGGAAAAAAACTTAAATCCATGTGGTTGAATAATAATGATAGAAATAAAACGCTTTATCACAACAAAATACATTTCTGTGTTTTATAATATGAAGTAATTCTTTAAAAAGCACTAATTAATACACTGATATTGTCAATGAACTGGAAAGAAACAGAAAAAAATACTAAAACTAATTAAATGTTTGTTTGAAGTTAAACACTCACAGACTCATTCATCAAAAATAAAGATGTATTTGAAGGGTCACATCAGAATTAATCGCTTCATACTCTTTGCACCCATTGCCCTGTGATCTTTATAACTTTAAAAATATCTGCCAACCGAATCAATGTCATCAAAGCTTGAAAGATTGAATTGCCTTTTTCCAGACGTCCAAAGTGTCCATCCTACAGGAAACCGTTTAAATTCACCTTAATCTTACCGGTTGTGTCATAAAGAGTTGGGAGCCATTATGTTCTTATATTGTGCTTTTTGATAGCTTCAGCTCAGAATGAACTGAGCTGTCTTTTAAACGCGAGCAGATAACAGTGAGGGGAAAGGTCGCGGTTGCTTAAGACAGAGAATGAAGCGGTCACAGGAGAGATGGCGGAGGGCAGGCCCACAACTACAGCTGCCACACATGAATCTTTGATAAGCGGCTGGGATAATGGCTCCTTAAATCAGTCAAACATAAACATCTCCATCACGCTCTGACATCTGCCATCCAAAGCTAATAATCTAAAACCTGAATAATGAATGAGGAGCATTAATCAAAAGTGAAACATCTCAATCACGCTGAGGAAAGAATGTAGGTCAAGTCTACGGTGCGTGAGGTTTCCTGTCTGCTTCCATCACGCCCAGCTTTTCTCCTTTAGTGTATTTTCCTGTGTGCAAACTGTCTGGAGGAGATGGCAGATCGTGCTGGCACCGGTGAGTGTTGTGGGTTCGAGCTCCGTGAAAATATCACGGTTTCAGTTGCAGCCAGTGGCCGGCACAAACCACCAGCACTGCACGAGCCAATCAGCACGAGGTTGACGCAGATCAGCCCACCGTCAGTTCAAACCTGGCTCCACAAAGACGGACAAACAGACATGTGACAGTGATGACGATAATAAAAACTGAGACTCAGCTTGCATTGTTTTGCAAATTAAAAATCGAGCTTTTTTTTATTTATCTATTTATTTACTCCCAAAAACGAAAACAAACAAAAGCTACTAATTCCCATGTCGTAATATCTTAGTGTTATTATCATAACAGGTGCAAAGATTGGGGGGCGTAATTTGCGCAATGGCTCTTCATGGGTCACACTCCCGCTGACCTGTTGCGCCTCTTCCTTCCTCTCCTCATCCGCCTCTTCCTCCTGCAGCCCTCTCAGACGTTATCTATTGATCCGGCCAGCCAAATGGAGATGCGGACACAAATCAGATTGGACGTGGGCTACTCAGCCGTGATTAACCGGCTTCTCGACCGCTCCATCCGTGCCTTTTTATACTGTTGCTAATATCCAGTTATAGGACGGTTAGTTCCGGTCCGGCTCCGCTCAGTCAAAACCGCCGCGAACTACTCGATAAACGCACACCTGAGACAGGACCAACGCAATTGCACTTGGCCAATCTGTTGCCTGGCAACCATATGCACACACACCACATACATGACATGTGGTGTATATATATATATATATATATATATATATACATATACACAATATATATGTATATGTGTGTATATATGTGTGTATATATGTGTATATATATTAAAAAAAATATATATATATATACATACATACATGGTGTGGGAAAGAGGGGAATAGAGGAAAATGCTAGAGATAAAGATAGAGATAAAGGGACAAATATAAAATTAACAGGACCTGTGAAAATTATATTAAGCTTATTCTTCAAAATAATTCATTTTGATGGCAAACTCTCACTACTACTGCAGATTTAAACATTTGAACAAATTGTTCAAAGTTTTCAACTATATTCTTCCAATGTTTTGCCTTCCTGTCTGCTCTGAACATGAATTGTTCTCCTGAACAATCATCCCAACCATTCAGGCCAACAATCCCATGCATACTGAGCGGATATGACATGGCCCACCTCTTTTACACTTCATGTCTGCCCCAAACTTGACTTGGGGCTAAACGGGCAATCGAGTGGAGTAATGTCAAAAGCTGCAGTCAAGGAGGAGAGGGAGGGAGTTTGGCTGCCATGCAAACACAATGATCAAAAGTGAGACAATAGGATTGTGCATGACACTGAGGAGCCTTTAAATAGACTCAGATATATACTACATATAGAAGTACGGGAGGGGAAACACTTCTTCTTCTATGTCACTCAAGAGACAGAATATTTAGTGAAAGCATTTACCTGTCATGAAGCTTAAGTTCTGCAAGTTGTGAGAGAAATTAAACGAGTGTGACAAGCAGCTACTGTGAGTGTTAACACAAGCCAAGGTGCAGGATCTTAATTCATCCCATGGAATAACCTCACACTGAATTTTAACAAAGTATAACAGCTCTATTGTGAGATTACAGTGAACACATTCATCCTGTAAGAGATACCCTTCAGATGACTGGAATATCAGACAGAAAAACTAGGATACTGTTATTGCTACTGCATATAAAAAATTAAATATAAAGCAAAAATCCTGAGTAGCGTGACTAAAATGTATACTTTTACATTTGAAATGGAAAGACTAATTATAACACAACAAAAATGGGTATGCTAAGGCAAAATGATATTTGAGTAAATAGGGTAGTCATTTGTCATCCAATTTATGCCTGCTAGCAGAAATGACTCATTAATATGGAAATAAGTTGATAAAAACTATATTATGTTAACCTTTATAATTACATAGTCTTTCCAGATCACCATATGTCTCAATTAGTTTCAGTGGAATATTAAATAAAAGATTAAACTAAAAACAGGTAAAATTGTGAAAATAGAGAACCTTTTGACAGCTGATTTACTGTTGAATTTGTCTCATGGGCTTCATAGTGTGTTGTTTTTTTGTTTTTGTTTTTTTTTTCTCATGCAGCCTTATGATCTCCTCCACCATATCATTTGCTCATAAATAAGAGGCTATTTCAGTGTGGAAATGTTAAAATGGAAAGGGTCAGCAGTGGAGCATGCATGTGGACAGCCCAGACGCTTCTGAGTGAGGGTTAAAAAGGCCTCTGTGGCCAGAGAAAGATGGGTTTTTCTCGACTGTACGCTTTCCCTGGTATCCACATCTCCCGCATTAGTAAGCGTTGACAGCGATATGTCAGCCACGATAATTACAGCTTGTCAGCATCCGTGACACCGGGCTAAGGGGCCATATCCACAACTTCCGTCTGCGCACAGAGCCCGGCCGCTTAATCAGCCCAGACAGCAGATCCAAAACAGTCCTTTGTTTATCATCATTATCATTAATATAGTCATTGTTATTATCCCATTGTTGTATTTGCTTATTTACTTTTTTGGGAGGGCTCTATGACTCTGACAAATTTGTCAGCTGAGTCCAGTCCCGGATGTCAACACACTTCATGAACAACACAACCATCCGTCAACAGCTGGAAACTAACTTTGTAGAGTTTGTTATTGATTTTTTTTCTTAGGGTAGTCTTAGGGAAATATAAGGTGAGCATCATATGTGAGGCTTGGGGCAATTAACCCAAAATGCACCTTTCAGATGTATTTCTTTATGCGTGTCTATCCCCAAATCAGCCCATGCACCTGGAAGAGTGAACATGGGGCTCCTCCGGCGCACTGCGTCACAGGGCCAGCATCAGGAGATGTGCGCTTATTCTAATATTCAACAAAATGACACGACGACTCATTTACATGGTGCACGTGTGATCAAATTACTTTTAGTAAATGTTTTTTTATATATATATATAAATAAAAAATGTGGAAAACAAACAGATTTCAGTCATCAACAGACAATAATGTTTCAAAGAGGCCCAAATGGGGATTTGTTTAAGAAATAGTGATTTCCACTTTTTTCTCCTCTGAATATACCAGTAAAAATATAATTAAATCAACTTTGGCGCAAATAAGGGGCTGCTGAAAATATTTAAGACAGGATCGATTATGGGCATCATCAATATTGAATCTAAGTTGGAGTTTTACTTTAAATCCCCCAGAATTCGATGGATGCCACCTGTTTTGAAACGATCATTTGCAGAGGGAGAGACAACATGAGCCTAATTGATTTTTAAGTGGTGTCTCTGTAGTTTCGAAGAGTAGGAGGGGAGTCCACTTCAGGGATTCGCCAAACTCCTCCAGTTTGTACCTGAATTGAGGGGCAGTGATGTGTTGCTGATGCGGCTCAACAAGCCACACTGGGGGCCAGGAGAGGAGTGGACAGAGGGGCCCAGTGTCTGATCTGTGCTCATGTGGGGGAAGGAGGATAATTAAAAAGGAACTTATTTGTGCAGAGGCAAAAAGCTGACACGTCAAACCTCATTCAGCAAACAATGGAAAATATTTCAAGTTTAAAACACCAAAACATTGTTTTCCTCTTCAGCCCCAAACTTACTTCCAGTTATAATGGTCATTACACCACGATTTATATCAACTTTAATAGAAATATGTATTTTAAGGTCGACTTGACAGCGATGTGCTCATTTCAGAGCCACACACGAACGAGTTGTGCCAATTTCAATTAAACGGGTGAAATAAGGTTTTACAAAGCTTGGAAACCACACACTTTCATTTGACACATGTTCACCCACGCACCCCCTCACACACACACGCACACACACACAAGCAAGCATGCATGCATCACAGACCCGGAGCCACAGAGAAAAGCAACTCTCCCCGAGAAAGCGGAAGAAAATGGGATGGGGGAGAGGGTGACCGGTTTGCAGCTCCACTCTTCCAGAGTCTCACACACAAGATCCGGGCGCACGGCTCCATTGAGTACGAGGAGGCTTTTGCAGGGAGGTTCATTAGAAGTAACGAGTTGACACAAGGTAAATCTTAATGTTGAGGCGCCTTTCTCTACCGGCCCGGGGAGGAGCCCTCATTAACTGTCGCTAACAACCCGTGTAAATACACTGATTGGACAGCTCCAATACAAGCTCCCAGCCCTGCCAGGAAGTCCCCCTAATGAGACCACACAATAAAAACAATAAAAGAAAAGAAGGAGGGAGACAGAGAGGGAGAGAGGGAGTGAGATGTTAAAAACTTTTTGTATAAGCTCTACTGTTAAAGTTGGCGCCACATTTGCTGATCATTGTGGCAATACTTGCGTAAAAATGCTTTCAATCCATATCGATTTATAAATATAATCCCAATGTTGAACTAAGTAATTGCCATTTGTATTACAAACGTACGGCTGGCATTGCGCACCTGTAATTTCAGTGCATTTGATGCAGGTATTTACTGTTTTAGTAGTGCGCAAACGACCATATGTGGGAAATTAGACAAATATTATTACGTGTAATTTTAGCTCCTATAATGAAAAAATATATAGAAACACTCACTTAGAACAGCTAGCCGTATCCTTCATCTGAATGGAGCGCACTGCAAAAAATGTCTGCTGGGTTCTGTCTTTCTTTTTTCTTTTTTTTTTGTCCATGTTCCTCAAAAGAAGTGATGATAGAATGCCGACTCAATTCAATTTACGCACTGATCCATTTTTGCTCCTCTCAGACATGTTTTCTTAAATGTGTATTTTCAAATAACATTTCAAGATTTTTTGTTATTTTTGAATAAGTTCAAATGGAAACATGAAATGAACTTCACTTTTCCACAGATGCAAAAAGGATAGGTCCATATTCTACACACAGTGCTTCGTGTCAGACTTGTTCACACTGACACTTCTTACAGTGTGGGCACAGCGTGGGGTCTCCGTACTCCGGAATGGTCAGCGTGGGACGGAGAGGATCGTGCACAGTGTCCCAACAGCATCACACATCTGCTTTGGAACGGCATCGATCAGTCCGGTGAATACGGCAAAAACACTTCATTAATGACATTTTTTTTGTGAATGAGTGTTGGTCCTATGCCAGCTAAAAGCCCTGCTTGATAAACTGTAAATAAACCTGGCCGGATGGTGAAAGGAGTCGGTTTACAGGAGCAGAACTTACAGGAGACGCGGGGGACTTTTCATCAGGATCTTGGAGAAATTGAACAGTGAAATAACAGCTGAGCCGATGCACCTCCAGCTCCGAGCTCAGACAGTCAGGGGACTGCATGTTGCTCCTGCATCTGCAGGGAGAGAAGAAGGCAAAAAGAAAAAGAAAACCATAGAGGGTAATTACTGACAAAGGATGCAATTGAGGAAACAAATCACTGTTGGTAGAACAATGTAAACTTAAGAATAATCCAGAAATAATAATGCAAATGTGTATTAAAAATGATTTTTAAAATGACATCCGTCTAAACGTACCCGTTTTCTTGTCTTGTCCTGTGTGCAGTTGCGATGAATCCGGGATGGAGCAGCAGCACATGAGTCTCTGCTGTTTGCCAGGGAGGGGTGTGCTACCTTTTCTGGCCAGCCTCTAACAAATCGGGGTCAACGAGGGAGCAAAAAATAAAACAAGATCATTTCTTTCGTGTCTTCTTTCTCTTTCCCTCTTACCTTTTCCAGTCAGCACCTTTTCTTCCTTTCTCTCATCCGATCCCCTTCTCTCTCTCACTCCGTAAATGACGTAACATCAGCTTTGTTTATTTGCTCCCCTTATTGGAACAGACTGATAAGGACAATAACTTAGAAATTTAGAAATTGTCAGCATGGAAACTAATATTTTAGACGCAGAGGGTGCCACTATATACAGTTCAATCAGAGAATAATGACAAACACTTTTTCTTTAACAACTAAATTACCACTCATTTATCTTTTAAAAAAAACATTTCACTCACTCTTTCACACTCATTCGTGACGAGGGTCACGCAGGAGGAGAGATGTGGCTGCAGAGCTGATCACGGTTGTCTTTGTACTTGATCAGCACATTTCCAGTTTTGTGCAAAATGCTGTTTGTGTTGTCGTGTCTGGAGGTTTAGGCTGTAAGTAAACGGAGAAGACGCTAAATACTCCATGTGCATTCAGAGCTCCCGTCCCCCGCTGTTTGGAACATTCAGCAAGCTCTCGGATAAACACACAATTACGGCAGGTGAATAAACTTGTTTGGGGGGTGTTAATTACATGCTTAACGTAAACAAAAGGCATGTAAAAGAATGTGAATTACCAGTGGCTTTTCTCCACTCAATCCCCCATTCAGGTTTTACATTTCACCTCTAGTCTCTTCTCGGACTGATTTCCGAATTGCCTGCGAGGGCAACTCCCAAACAAGGCTCCCCTAAAAACCTAATGCCGGATAATACCTGCTGCCTCCGCTTGAATTGCGATCACCTAAATTAGAGCACCCAGTCAGGTATAGGAGGCTTTGCATATTCGGAGTAGTCCTGGTAAGCCCGCACTCTCAACCTAGTGTTGGGGTCGTGCATGCATGCATGTAAGTGTGTATGTGTGCTTTGTGTGTGTGTATGTGTGTGTGTTAAAGAGAGGGGAGAGGGGTTTTAGGCTATAGGAGGTTAGTTTTAACACCGGCATGAAAATACCAGCCTTTACTTCCAGTCCACGGAGCTTTCCAATGGGACCAATTGAAGTGCCACTTAGAATTAGTCCTCCTGAGTTTCCTGGAGCTGCGCACTGGACAGGTTTGATGCCCTACACTGCCCAGCCCCCCACACAAACACTCGCTCACAAGCCCGCTAAGGCACAATCCAAACGCCAAACCCCTTCCACAGGATCATCTCGACCTCTCTCCCGCATCCCACACACTCCCAGACACTCGCACATAAGGCGTGCACTCCCTCATTTCAACGCGTAAATGTCTACGCGCAAAAGTTTCATTATTCTCTTTTACTGGGATTCTTACAGGGTGGGACCCACGTCTTAAAGTGTGCCAGTCAGGGTTAAATGGCAAACAGGTGACCATACATGCACGAGGAGCTGGTTTACTTACTGTCCCTCTGAAGGCGGTGGTCTTTCTGTCCAGTTCCGGGGAAAGTGCAGATCGGGGAGAGGGACGGAGAAGTTTTGAATTCCTGAATGAATTTGTAGAAAGGCAGCTTAGGATCATTATGTCAGCTTTATTGAGTGCGGATTAAGCGAGTCTAGATGCTACGCCTTGTACATGGCTCTTTCACAATGCGAGCACTGTTCGTTTTGGAGTGAACTCATAATATTTTAACACCCTGTAAGCCCTGTCTAAATATGAATCCGATTTAGCCATAAACATGAAAATCACACCACCTTGGCTACCGCTATAAGCCGAATCCTGTGACTGGATGTGGACATTGATCATGTCCCTGCCACTAGATCAAATACATGAAAACTGCTTTTATGTACCCAAGAAGCTTTCATGTTGCCATTCGGTGGTAATTCCAACACTAGCCTAATGGTTTTAATTAGATTGCTGGGTTGTTTTACAAATGTAATAAACTCTCAAAAGGGCGGTGCCACATCCAGTTTAGTTTCCCAGATACAAATAATCTTTGATCAACTCAACAATGCGCATCGACGTGAACTCGGAACAATGCGTTTAGTTGGTTTGTGAGGCGCAGCGGGCGGAGGGCCAGAGCTGATCCAGCGTCCCGGAGGCAGGGCCGGGGACGGCGGGAGGGGGAGCGGCATCACACCGCAGCACACACCCGGACCCGCACCCACCCCACAGATGTGAGCACACACACCAGCGTCTCCCCGCACAGCCATACTTGGAGCATGTTACAAAACTGTAAAAAAAAAAAAAAAAAAAAAAAAAAAAATGACCGACTGATCTAGGACAAATGCCAAAATATATTTTTTAAACGACTTCAAATGTTCTGTCTAAAATGTAGCAAAACAAGAAAGACTAGACAATGATGAGGCGGAGCTAATCCCTGTCACAAAAACATCTCTAAAAAGTGGCTAACCCGGGTAAAAACTCAACGAAAATAATGTGGAAATGGACTCGCTTCTATTCAAAACGTGTATTCCAAAGCTGCAGTCATTGGTTGTCCATTTGTCACCCATTTAAAGCTCCCTCTGCCTCCCTCCCTCCCTCCCTCCCGCCATCCCTCCCTCCCTCCCCGGCTCTGCTAAGCATCTCCAGTCTACATATCTTCTTTAGCTTTAACGAGCCTCGTTAAGATCGCAATAATATTCCACCCTCTAATTGCTCATTCCATTCAGCAGATAGGCGAGCATTGGCTTGTGCCTGATGCGCGGTGCGGTGGGAGGGTTGCTGTGGAGATCGGAGACTCTGATAACCCCCCGTGCGTGCTGCACAAGTGGTGAAAGCCTCGCGCTACGTACTGGCTAATGATTGGCACGCTTGACAGTGATTGGCAGGGCTGCCATGACAACGCTACAACGACACCAAGAAGACCAATAGAAAAGGGAAACAAAATGTTTCAATGCTACACTCAACGGCGGATTTAGGGGGGAGATATTATGAGGCTGGTGTCATTAGGCGATAGCCATTGAATCATTCAGTCTTTTTTACTGGCCGTATTTTTCGGTTTTTCCCTTTTTCTCGGTAATTTTCTTTCTCTCTCAGGTCATTTCCATGGTTTTCAGATCCCCTTTAGAGCTTTATCCCTCCCATTTCTTCCTGCCTAACTTCGCTGATCGCCCACTGCTCCTGGCGAACAGCGCTCCCGCCACCCGGTCTCCAGAAGACTTGTCCATGTTTCAGCTACCGACCCTCAACTTTTCCCCGGAGCAGGTGGCGAGCGTCTGCGAGACGCTGGAGGAGACCGGGGACATCGAACGGCTGGGCCGCTTCCTCTGGTCCCTGCCCGTCGCTCCGGGAGCGTGCGAGGCGATCAACAAGCACGAGTCCATCCTGCGCGCCCGGGCCGTCGTGGCTTTCCACACGGGGAATTTCCGAGACCTCTACCACATCCTGGAGAACCACAAGTTCACCAAGGACTCGCACGGCAAACTGCAGGCCATGTGGCTGGAAGCCCACTACCAGGAGGCCGAGAAGCTCCGCGGCCGTCCCCTCGGACCGGTCGACAAGTACCGGGTGCGGAAGAAGTTTCCGCTGCCTCGGACGATCTGGGACGGGGAGCAGAAGACGCACTGTTTCAAAGAGCGGACACGAAGCCTGCTGCGGGAGTGGTACCTCCAGGACCCCTATCCGAATCCCAGCAAGAAAAGGGAACTGGCTCAAGCCACTGGACTCACTCCCACACAGGTCGGAAACTGGTTTAAAAACCGGAGGCAACGAGACAGAGCCGCAGCAGCCAAAAACAGGTCGGTGATCTTTTCTCTGCTGTGTCAAAAAAGCAACCATGCACTCCAGTCCACCACTATTTTTTTTTACTCTTTTTTTACCAAAAAGTAAATGCGAGGAGTTAAAAAAAACACAGAGAGTTGTGTGTTCGGGACAGTCAGAGTCCTGTCAGTCAGATGGAGAAAAGTACGCTGCGCCGACATTTTTGTTATGAAGTGCACAAAAACAACAACAAAACCCTCTCAGCAGTCCCGGTGACACAGAACTTTCATACATACGTATAAATGATTTATTTTTGTTGTATTTCAAATATAAAACATCCAAATACCATTTGGGCAGATTGTTAATTTTACATGGGTTTTTAAATAGATCATGAAACAGAAAAAAAAAACGCAATCTTAGAATTTCAACTTTGGGATTGAAGTAACTCCGAATAACAAACTAACCTTATACAAGCAAAAACTAGACTTTCAGTTAAACCCAGAAAGCGATCACTGCGCGCCTTCTTCTGACAAAAAAAAACATATTATCCCTTTTCCCCCTATCCTGATGCAGACTGCTTAACGTTTATTAAAACATTATCAGCTCGATTTTTTGTAAATTTTATACAAACTTTTGAGGACGATGGTAGAACCACTAGGAATTATTTTTCCTCAGCATCAAAGCACTAGATTAAGGCTTCTTATTTGAGCCGTGGACACACTGTCTAAGGGCTGTGTTTCAACGTATTTAGAATTATCCTGTTTTTAAAAAAAAGATTATAGGAATATTATTATTTTTATGACCAAAGATCATGAATGTTAGGTCTATTACTTATTTAGTTTACGTTGCATTGGTTAATGTATTTGTGTTTTTTTTTTATATACTATGCCTTTTAAAATATTATTTCAACGTACAGTATAGAGTAAAATGGAGATTATATGAAAGGATAACAGAATTATTATCTACATTCCTTGACTAAAATGAGCATTCAAATAAGTCAGAGGCTGTGCTCATATCATTATGTGTGGTATCATTTCATTGAAATGCTACACTGATTAGAAAATATCTCAGAGAGCACTAAGCCATATGAATACTAGTCTAATCTTTTTGATAAACGAAGAGATATATTTCCGCACTGACATTATCCTGTGGTGATGGAGCTATTATCATGAGTGGAGATAAACATTTAGGATGATTGGAGTAACCTGGATCTCAACGTCACTCATTCATACACTTCCATCAGACTAAACTACAAGTGTGTTAAAGCCTCAAGGCAGTTTCCATTTCTGCAAAGGCATGTTTGTTTGTTTTTAACCAATTAATAATATAGTTCCAGGGGTGCCGTCACACGGCTAAAAATATGGGATAAATATAGGAAAAATGATCAAAGAAATACACGTTGTTGCAAAAATAGCTGAAGGTCTATGACATAAACAAATAGTTTATAGTCCAATAAAAACGGCTGGACTTGCAGAATCTCTGCACTGATGTGATGGAAAAATTCTAACTCCAGATTGTTGACCTGCACCATGGTCAGGCATACTTTTGGAGGAGAAAAATCTCCATTAAATTTCCTCCAACATTTGTTAGTCTGAATAGTGCAGCGTTTTGTCCTCTGAAAGCTGGCTGATAAAAGCATGCATGCATGGCTGGGGCCGGCAGGGGGAAAGAAAGGCGAGGTTGAACCCTTATTTTGCAAGAGGAGGAGGGGAAGGGGGTACATTCCCGGGTCTAATTGCCATTTCTCTCAATTTTTTTCTTCTCTTTTCCTCCCCTTCTCGCTTCCTTTCTTCTCCAGGCTTCAGCACCAAGCAATAGGACCGACCGGTATGAGGTCCCTCTCAGAGGCCGGTCTCACCCCTCACAGCTCGGCAGAGTCGCCTTCAACCGCGGCCAGTCCCACCACCAGCGTCTCCAGTATGACAGAGAGAGTTGATACTGGGACGTCCATCCTGTCGGTCACGTCGAGTGACTCGGAGTGCGATGTATGATACGGAGGAAAAAACACAAAAAAAAACAAACAAAAAGAGAAATATTTACAGGGAAAATGGACCTGAGAGGAAGAAAAAAAAAGACTATTAAATATGGCGGATGAAAAAAAGGACTGATTGATATAAATATTAAAATAAAAAGAGATAAAAGCACGTCGTTTTTTTTTTTTTTTTTTTTTTAA